ACTTACGGTTTTTAAGTATTGTACAGGGTGTTCGCGATATTCCGTGCAATATTAAAGAACATAATAGGTACTCCAAATTTGCAGCTACCGACTTCAGACTTAGGAGAGAAGTAGAAGTTTGGACCCGCATTTAGACTCTTTAAATTGGGAGCTATAAAATAACGCGAAGTATTTTTTTTTGTTTTTGATTTTTTTTTTTGTGGTTATTTTGGCATCCAGAAAAACATCTTTTCCTCCAAAGGCATTCATCCGATCGGAAAAATTTTACATCTGTGATAGGTGGGAGAGCCGGCACTATAACTTTTGTTTCACTCATTTTTTTGATTATATATAAGGTGTTTTAGTTATGAGCAAAAATCTAAAAGCCCCGAAAATTGTTCTTTTAGAGAGTAAATTATTAACCGTAAATCAAAATTCGTACAAACAATAGCTAATCCGTTCAAACAGTGTTATAGGCCGTATCAAGGGCTACAATTTTTGTATTTACGGTTTTCGTCTATCACATACGCTGTTCGAGATATTTGAAATAATCCAAATGAAAATCACTATTTGCCGCCCTCAATCTAGACGCGATGACGTCATTTACAATTACCACGTATTGTATGGTTTCAGAAAACAAGTAGTTTTTTGATAAACCATTTACTCCATTGGAAAATTCGGATACCAGGAAACTAAGGAAATCCAGAGCTATATCCTCTATTTCGAACATTGTTCAAAGTACTCCAAAAGTTTTTAGGATCAGCCTCAAATGTACTTGCTGTTACTCGGCTCTCACAAAGGAGTTCACAACATTTCGTAATTCTCTATACTCGTTGAAAGCAATATCTGACTTAAGACGTTTGTATCCTAAACGTGACCTATTTTTAAGTTTTATTGAAAGTTTAAGGTTTTCGGTAAGCCTAAGGGCTGGGGGTCTCTTAATTCTAGAATATCAAATAAATAATTCATATTATTCGTAAGAAAGTCAACTTGTACGTTTATATCAGCAAAAGAGTATAAAAGATCCCAGTTAATTGCTCTAAGACTATTCATAAACAATTCGTTATCGAATGCCGAAAAATCTCTAAAGGTTCGAAGAAGGGATGACGCTCTTGTTGCAGCTTGAGAAAACAAGAAACAATACAGTGATCTGAGATATCACTCATATCATGAACTTCAATATTGTCACATATGGATAAATTGGAGGTGGTACCTCTGACCAAGATATTTTTTTAAAATTGAAAGAGCAGTTTTTATCCCAAAGAATTCCAGTTTAGCTAGGAGAAGCGATCTAGAGTTTCCAGTAACCCGAGTGGGCCTTGTAACTAGTTGATGCATGCCGAAGTTGGTGAGAGTATTTGAAAATCGAAAATAAGCGGGAGTATTAGTTTTTAACAGATCAACATCGAAATCTCCGCCAAATATCAACAAATCAAGTTGAGGAATAAGTGCGGTAAGGACGTTTTCCTGAGGGTCGAGACATTCAAGTAAGTTAAATGTTGAAGGTCTATCAACTGTTCCTAGGCACAACGTTTTCCCTTCGATCTTAATAGACAACCATAATTGTTCTAAACTATCATTATTAATATATTCCGATATATCTAAGCTTTAACTGTAAAATGACTGCCATAATAAAAAGCTATCCCTCCACAACTTATTTCACGGTCACGCCTTACAATGCCATAACCATCAATATTTAGACAATCATTAAGTACAAGAGTTGAAACCCAAGTTTCCGAAAGCCCCACAAACTCAAGTCCGGAAGCCAACATAAATTGGGAAAAACGATCAAAGTTAGAATAAAGTGATCTTACATTTAAATGAGCCTAAGCGCTAGACACGCTTATCCTAAACAACTAAATAACTAAACAAAAATAAGGATACGCCTAAACAAAAGAGTAAACAAACATGACTTTGGGTCAAGCAAATATCGTTCAGCATAAAGGAATGAAGGTTCTCATAAATCCCATAAAAAGAAAAGCATTTAAATAAGAAAAAATAATTAAACTGATTCTACAAATACCCATTATTATTATTTTTAACAAATAAATAAAATAATCTGCAATAACGAGACGAGATCCCACAAATCCCATACACTGAAAAGCAAACAAATCAGTAAGTCTCGTGTTAACCAGTTCGCAATATAAATCGCAAAAAAAGAGAAAAAAAAACGGAACGAGATCTAACTTCAGATAAAGATAACACAGCTGTGCCTATTATACTAACTGTTACAACATTACAAATAAGTCAGTATAGCAAGAGAGCCAGATCTAATATTAGCATTTTAATATTTAATAAAAATTACCATAGAAAAGTAGGATAACTGAGATATAAGCGAATTTGTATGAAATAAACAACAAGTTTAACGATAAAAAGTAAAATAAAACGATAAGTTTGTCTCCAGGTCAAAACCATAGCTGTACCGGAGTATAAATACATGGGCATACTCGTTCAAATAAAATATTTTACCGTTGGCGGACGAGACCTGTCTATGTCCGTATCTAGCTTTAGTAGCTGTGAGTAGTTTACGCCTTTGAAGAGACAGATCTTCGTAGACGGAAGTACCCGTACCTTTAAGGTTCTTCTAGCACTAAAAACTTCGTTCTTTTTAATATAGTTTACATCTTTGAAGAGACAGATCTTCGTAGACGGAAGTACCCGTACCTTTAAGGATCTTCCAGCACTAAAAACTTCGTTCTTTTTAATATAGTTTACATCTTTGAAGAGACAGATCTTCGTAGACCGAAGTACCCGTACCTTTAAGGCTTTTCTAGCACTAAAAACTTCGTTATTTTTAATATTTGATATAAAAGTAACCAGCACTGTGGGAGGTTTTTGGTAGTTATCTTTCCCCTTAAGCCTAAAAACAGAATCTATCTGACAGAAAGAACAAGAGATTTTCAGAGTATCCTTTACAAGTTATATCAGTCAGCAAATCCTAGTTCGGTTTAACTTCTAAGCCATTAAAACGCAGTACGTTGCGCCTACTATCTACTATACTATAGAAAATCAAACTCAAGAACTATAGTTCGATGATTTATAGTCCCTTAAAAGTTGTGGGACTTCTACTGGGCCAGCAGTCAGGATACGAAGTACCCCTGTTTTTGGTATGACTGGGAGAGTAGAAACAGACAGCAACATTGTGGCAAAAAGACTAACCAACAAGGGTTAATTTAACTCCCATATAAACAAATATTCCTCGCGATAACCTTATTAATCTGAAATTCTCATACAACTGATGACTGATGGCAGATTAAAAAGGGATAAACAAGAAAATACACTATACGAAGTTTTTCGGTCCAAAATAAATGGACTGAAATAATGTTTGAGACTTTGTTATTTAAGTTAGATTTTTTCAATTCAAGTTTCATTTTTGTACTAATGTAATAGTCTTTAAATCGTTGTATTCCAAAAATTAATCACATTTGACGGAGTGTGAGAAGAATTTTAATGTATATAGGGGCGGAGGAAACAAGGGAAGTGGAAAGAGTGCATTAAATTGAGTGCTAGGAGTTGAAATAGATGTTCCAAGGTATATAGTACGAGATAAGATAAACTGCTTTGAGGATAGAATACGGTAGTCAATAGCTTGCAGGCAGCTAAAATTTAAGAAAGTTATCAATGGGGAAAGTGAGATGAAAGAAATGAATAAGAAAGACAAGATATAAGAGTTATACAACTCGTATTCTGGAGATACCATCACCTACCCCACAAAGTAAACCTATCAAGCCAAGAAGAGTGAGTTCACAACAAGACTGGCCTACTGGGAATGGGACAGAGTTGATTCACAGGTGGTTCCAAATCAAACCACTTTCAAAGCCGGAGATAAAGCGTACTCCAAGTTCTGTGCAAGAATGCATGTAGCAAGGCAAGTAATGCAGAGGAACGTGTAGGCAGGCAGGCCTCGATACTTGTTCAAACCATATGAAGCTGCGATGTCAGGGAGCTGAAGTAAGACAACCATACCAGGTACATTTGACAAGAACCCAGAAAGCAAGGTTAAATGAGATCGATATGAAGAAACCTCCTTTCGAACCAGCATATGATGTTTTAAGTTGTCATCCGCCAGTTTGATAATGTTTTTGTTACAATTTGTGGCGGATATTCTGCTTTTGACTAAAATGTGATCGAAATCGACAGATGCAGAAAATGAAGTTTAAGTTGTTGTCTGCTTGTTTGTTAGTGTCCTTGAAGTCAATTTCGATCCAAAATATGGAGTATAAAATTGGGCGTATGCGGCAACAGATCGATTGGTCGTAGTACATAATAACCTTAACTTATAAAACGCAAGGGCGAGAGTGGAGAGTGAAGCGAGAGAAAGAAGAAAACAAAGACTTTTGTTGTTTTCCTTGTTATATTATGGTTATTAGTTTAGTGGGGAGCGCTGGGTCACAATCACCGATAGATCCATCATGCGTGCATTTCCTCGAACATATTCCTTAACCGGATTACCGTGTTCCTCCGGGCTTCCGGTCCAGACAAACGAAATATCTTTATCCGAGAACCGCGATTCTTGTTCACCGCGTCAACATACGATTGCGGGAACTCTCTACACTATAATTGAATTCAATTATCAGTTTTTGCTTCGCGAAAGGAGTGGGGGAGGTCGAATCCGAAATCCGGCCACTTTTTGGCCGAAAACGACGTTCCAGAACCGTCGCGGGGGGTAAGGCTGGTCGTAATTTATTTGGAAAATGCGCGGAGAGTCCGTATTTTTCGATACTCGCTCATTTGTGCCGGATGAGTTGCGGGGAATTTGCCAAAACGCGACTCTATCGATTTCCTTAATTCTTATGGCAAAGTTAGCGGCTGGCGCACTCAAAGTTTTAACTGCAGATCCATCGCGAAGTTTTGATGTATAATTGACTATGGGCTTCGCTCTACGCTATTAAATCTTATTGACTCAGCTCTATGCGGTGCCCCCGACGGCGATGGGGTTGGGGGGGATGATTATATAACTGTTGGATATTTGCCTAAACTGCGTTTCGTGTGAGACTGACTCGTTTTTTTTTCTTTCTCAGGGAATCAATGTTGCAAGCAGAGATTTTACGTCAGTTTCAAGGCGTTGGGTTGGGACGACTGGGTTATTGCTCCGCAAGGGTAAGCGACCACGTGATTAAGTTTTTGCTGACTTTTGTAACGAATGATCATAGTACGCATCTAGCACAAAAAGTTTAACAAAAAATTTGCAGGGTTTAATATGTAGATTTAATATTACATAAGTATTTATGTACAAGGTGTGACCCAAAAGCATAATACATGAAAGTTATATTTTTTAAATTTCAAGTATTGTTTAGTTATTTCGTAAAAAGAAAGAAGAAAATATAGAACATGTTATAATAACGTTTTCACTTGACGAAAAATTCAAGATATTGTCGTTGTATATAAAAATGAAAACATTTTTGCTTTATCGAATTTTAAACTATAAAGACATGACGTGACGCAATGCTGACGCATGACCAACTGAGTGGCGAATTAGTTTTGGATAATTCTGGTATAGCTTAGATTTTTAGATGCAAGGTGATTTTCTAAATGTGATGATACCTTATTTTTTAAACGCACATATTTTTTTAGTTTTATCAAAAATACAAGAGTTATTTGAGATTCAAAGCATGTATCTTTGATTCATTTTTTTTATTAGGCTATGGAAAGAAGTGCTCGATACTTTAGTTGCCAAACAGTTACGAATTTACGTATTTACTATTTTGATTTCTCCCTCCTATTCCTTCTGCTAAGGCTCATCTTTTCTCAAAATATGAGAAAGTAGATATAATGTGTGTAATTATCAACACACAAGTTTATTCTGACGGGCAACTAACCTTAATAACTGTAACTAAATATTATCCTTAATATTCTCATTAAAATAAGGAAATTTCGTACTATGAGATATTTATGAGATACCCTAAAGTTATTTCATGGCATGTCGCTCTTAATGAAGACATAAAAGAATATGGTATCGATATTTCGAACTCAAAAATTAAAATCGCTTACTCTTGACCACCACGGAGATGGCCAACTACAAAACTGTTAAATTAATTTGTTGTTGAGCTTTACATTTGCAGTGTTGTCGAAAGCCTTCGAGTGGTCCACCAAGAATAAATACATAAATATTGAATTGAATTGAAAAATGTTTATTTTATTCCCTCGTTTACGATAGATAGCAAGGAAGAGTTTGTTCGCGCAAGAAATTAGAGCTATCCTATTGTAGTTATTACGGTCTGTTAGTGAACCTGTTTTGGAAATATAGATGAAAGCAAGCTTGCATTACTCATTTGGCCACTTTAATGTCTTCCAGACTAGATTCTATTTCATCGTTCCAAGTTGTATATTAATTCAACACCCATTTTCTTTAATGTTTCTGCCCTCAGTCTGTCTTCCCCTTCCAACTACCTAGTTTTTAATTTCTTTACTGCGATGTCAGGATGTATGAGTTTCTTTCCTCACTCATTTTCTCTGTGTTTGCTCCTTCCTCATTGTGGTTTGGATTCCTCTGTTAAATACTTCATTTTTTAAAAGATTTTTGACGGTCACCGTGTTTATATAATCATTTTGGTCTCTTCTGCACATAGATTTTATTCGTTGGCTCTATTTCAGTTGCAGTGCAGTGCTATAATCTTTTTCTTAGTATAACCCAATGTTTCGTTACGATCTCCAGTAACTTGTTTCTCTGGTGTCTCTCTGAAGTTTTTAGGTATCTATTTTATTCTTTTATTAATGCTAAGATACTAGCTGACTGTATTATAATAGGACATGCTAATGCTAATAACGCTTTTTTCTGCTGGTAAGCATTTTTGGGCCAATAAATCAAACTAGGGTAATAGAAAGAAGATTGAAACACAAAATCAATAAATACATTCTCTTCAACTGCTCTCTGATTCACACAGAGTTTTAATTACATGAATTACATGGGCGTACACTTTTGGGTTTATATTATTGCGTCAAACTTTTTTTAAATCGCGATGATAAAGGGGTAATCTAAAGGGTATATTTTTATGTCCTCGTCTGCAAAATAAGTTTTATCATATAAATTCTTAAAACTTCCACTAGTTATTTTTTTATCAGTAGTTATCTTCAAGTAAAAGTCATGCTGACTAAGGAATTCTTGCAATACCTCTTTCTAAAGTGTTGTGATAAATAGCGTTATCATAAACTATTACAATGCCTGGTGGGATACTTAGAAGATAATTTTTTACCCAATTTTTGGTCTAATGAGCAGTCTTTAATGCTGAAAATAGCATAGCGTTGGCATCTTCTCTCGAGCCACATTGTAAAATGGATATTCTTCTAAGAAGGGGTAGATTCAAAATGCAGTTCGTTGAAGAATTTTGCCAGTCTGGGTGTCCAACCAAGTCTCGCCTAACTAACACATATTTCGCTTTTCATTGAACAATCCAACGACCTGTCAAATTTGATTCAATATGGCGTCCCAAGGCACAAAATCAAAGCAAATGACGTGTGTTTATAAGCAAAACTGGTTTTTAGCAAATGATCTTATTTTGGGTCTGTTTGTCTTTTTTTAAATATCAAAGCTTATTAATTTTTGATTTTAGTCTATTTTGCTTTTCTTGTACTATATTGCTTTAAAAGAAATATAATATGAAAAATGTTGACAATGCCTACTACAACTTGTGTTGTGGTCGGTTGTGGAAATTCGTTGAAACCGCGATCGAGTCAGTTTTTTTGTAGCGCCAAAAGAACAAACAGCTAGGAAAAACTGAAATCGATGAACATGTTTTGAAAAAGATAAGAATGAACCTACTAGAAAATCTACTCAAACGCACTTAACGATAAATGAGTTGACTCCAAAATTTTTGACAGCATAGCGTAGTCTTGTAGCCAAAAAAAATAATTGAGGTTTGGAACCAAGAAGAAAGAAAAATCGCCATATATTTTAATGCATGATACATCAAATATAAACAAATGGAAATATTATACTGGCTTTGAATATGGCATGGTTAATTTGTTAATATTTGAAAGCATAAACGAATGTGAGTACCACCACATTAAGTTGCTTTAATCAGTTGATTTGTACTTTTAAGATACATATTTTAGAGTATTAATTAACAAATGTGTGAGCTGTAAAGACCACCAAATTAATGAGTAACTTCGAGAGCTCCCATTTCATTGGTGAAGAATTTTCCCAAGAGTTCTCGCATTATGATTTTGAGCATGGTACTCAAGAGCAATTTTGGAATTCAAAATTCGGATAATTTTTTTGTTTCAAGATCATGCACAAAATCGGAATATTGCAGATTTGATACAAATATTGCACTTGATAATAATAAATATGATCCATTTTCAAAAATACTTGTCCCTCATTTTTAAAAAGGCAATGAACTTTTCATTTTAAAACACTGATCCGTATCTTATACTTTTATTTTTATTTAATAAATATGGCACTTAATTTTCAAGCACTAATCTGTCTGGCAGCTAGTTGAAGCCATTTTTCACGTAGTCAACAATAATGCTGTTCCTTATAGTAGTACCCACTTTTAAAACAAATTCAGATTCAAAGTACTTATAATCTTGCAAATTCTTGCATCCCATCATCTCCTTAGCGTAAAACCTCTGGGAAAACAACAACAACAACAATTTTACAAAAATAATTTCGTTCAATGATGACTCTCCACCTCAAAATAACTAACACTTCAAAATTCACCACACAAATGATTTTTTACCTGAACTACTCCAATTGTTTGTCCTAGACAGCCATATTTAATCTGGTGGTTTAGATTGCCTAATTCCGCCAATCGTTGGCGTCTCTAATGCAACTACGTTTGTCAATATTTTTAAATCTAAATGCGAGTCATGCAGAAATCGTCCCAACGTTTCACGACTGCCAGTAAATGGAACATTTTTTTTATTTCTGTTTCAATGATTCCAGTGACGGTATATGATTACATTATGCATCGCATACACTTCCCACCGAATCCACTCTGTATTGCTATTCCTAAACACATTCATTATACCTTTGTCATATCGTTTCTTTCTTCTATTATCAAAGAATCAATGCAAGGTTAACTTTTGAATGCCAGTTAAATCCACTGTCATCCCAGCGACAGATTCCATGCCCGATGTTTTTAGATGACCTGCAGACATATTTTTCATTAAAAACATAAATTATTAGAGGATTTTTTTTATTTGCTGTTTTAAAGTTTTGGAAACGTTGCCTGATGTCTTTTTAATCAATTTTTAAAAAAATACTGGACTATACTTAATAGCTATGTGATAGTGAGCTGCAGATTCCACGCCCTCTAATGTTTTTAGACGACCTGCAGAAATATTTTTCATTGAAAATATAAATTATTAGAGGATATTTTTATTTGCTGTTTTAAAGTTTTGGAAACGTTGAATTATGTCTTTTTAATCAATTTTTGAAAAATTGCTGGACTGTACCTAATAGCTATATGATAGTGAGCTGCAGATTCCATGCCCACTGATGTTTTTAGATGACCTGCAGACATATTTTTCATTGAAAATATAAATTAATATAGGTTTTTTTTTTATTTGCTATGTTAAAGCGTTGGAAACGTTACCTGATGTCTTTTCAATCAAATTTTGAAAAATTTCTGAACTGTACCTAATAACTATATGATAGTGAGCTGCAGATTCCATGCCCTCTGATGTTTTTAGATGACATCCAGACATATTATTCATTGAAAATGTACATTATTAGAGGATTTTTTGATTTGCTATTTTAAAGTTTTGGAAACGTTGTCTGATGTCTTTTCATTCAATTTTTGAAAAATTACTGAACTAGAGCTAATAGCTGACCTGCAGACATATTTTTCATTAAAAATATTAATTATTAGAGCAATTTTTTATTTGCTATATTAAAGTGTTGGAAACGTTGCCTGATATCTTTTTAATCAATTTTTGAAAAATTACTGGACTATACCTAATAGCTATGTGATAGTGAGCTACAGATTCCATGCCCTCTGATGTTTTTAGATGACCTCACACATATTTTTTATTAAAAACATAAATTATAAGAGGATTTTTTTATTTGCTATTTTAAAGTTTTGGAAACGTTGTCTGGTGTCTTTCCATTCAATTTTTGAAAAATTACTGGACTAGATCTAATAGCTGACCTGCAGACATATTTTTCATTAAAAATATTAATTATTAGAGCAATTTTTTATTTGCTATATTAAAGTGTTGGAAACGTTGCCTGATGTCTTTTTAATCAATTTTTGAAAAATTACTGGACTATACCTAATAGCTATGTAATAGTGAGCTGCAGATTCCATGCCCTCTGATGTTTTTAGATGACATCCAGACATATTATTCATTGAAAATGAAAATTATTAGAGGATTTTTTTATTTGCTATTTTAAAGTTTTGGAAACGTTGTCTGATGTCTTTTCATTCAATTTTTGAAAAATTACTGGACTGGAGCTAATAGCTGACCTGCAGACATATTTTTCATTAAAAATATTAATTATTAGAGCAATTTTTTAATTGCTATATTAAAGTGTTGGAAACGTTTCCTGATATCTTTTTAATCAATTTTTGAAAAATTACTGGACTATACCTAATAGCTATGTAATAGTGAGCTGCAGATTCCCTGCTCTCTAATGTTTTTAGATGACCTGCAGACATATTTTTCATTGAAAATATAAATTAATAGAGGATTTTTTTTATTTGTCATGTTAAAGTTTTGGAAATGATATGATAGTGAGCTCCAGATTCCATGTCCTCTGATATTTTTATATAACATGCAGACATATTTTTCATTAAAAATATAACTTATTAGAGCATTTTTTTATTTGCTATGTTAAAGTGTTGGAAACGTTGCCTGATGCCTTTTTAATCAATTTTTGAAAAATTGCTGGACTATACCTAATAGCTATGTGATAGTGAGCTACAGATTCCATGCCCTCTGATATTTTTAGATGACCTCACACATATTTTTTATTAAAAACGTAAATTATTAGAGGATTTTTTTATTTGCTATTTTAAAATTTTGGAAACGTTGCCTGATGTCTTTTCAATCAATTTTTGAAAATTACTGAACTATACCTAATAGCTATATGATAATCAGCTGCAGATTCCGCGCCCTGATGTTTTTAGATGACCTGCAAACATATTTCTCATTAAAAATTTAAATTATTAGAGCATTTTTTTATTTGCTGTGTTAAAATTTTGGAAACGTTACCTGACGTCTTTTCCATCAATTTTTGAAAAATTACTGGACTATACCTGATAGGTATATGATAGTGAGCTACCCTATGTAGTCCGTACTTCTATGCCTTTTCTGCGCAGGTACTACGCGAATTATTGCAGAGGAGATTGCGGTCATCACCGTACTCCAGACACATTCGTGACGTATCACACGCACGTAATCGAGGAGGTGCGTAAGACGCAGCACCTTTCGGGGATGACACCCTGTTGCGCGCCTCTGAAGTTCTCCAGCATGTCGCTGATATACTACGGTCCCGAGTCCACTATCATCAAGAGGGACCTGCCCAAGATGGTGGTCGACGAGTGCGGATGTCCGTAAGTGAACGAACCAACTTCTATACGGAGAGACCAAATTAAATTTAAATCGAGAGTCGACCTTTAGATAATCTATAGACTGAAGTGATAATTAGATAGGAGCAGCGCAAATTATTATCGACGACGTACGGCAATGACGTGGGTGCGTAGATCGGGAAAGTTAACGTTTGAGTACGGCGCGGAGTTGCGTTCGATTTGTTCGTTTCGCTTGTTAGTTGCTTGGAGTCGATTAAACAAATTGTAGTTGTATATTTTTGTAACTGACGTCTGCAGCTTGTTGAGTTTGTCCCGTATACAGGGTGATCCTTGATTAATGCGCCAAAAAACAAACGCATAAGCGATGCTGAAGTTCCCAGAAATGTTATTTCTCAGTGACTCGAGCAATTTTTCAAATGACGTGAAATTTTGAGGCTTTTCGATATCACAAGGTTTGTACAGGGTTTTCATTTATATTTTGAATTTCACCTACAGAGTTCATTAAATGAGATAAGAAAAAACTTTTAATTTGTTTCTCTGTTATCTTCTGAACACCCCAATCAAAACAACAACAAATAAAAAAATCACTTTTTTAAAATGGAACAGCCAGTATATTTCTACCTAAGTCCTTTATAACTCAATTTCACTCAATTGGTTTATCCGTTTTTATAATAACTCGCGTTTGTTATTCAAAAATTTAATTAAATAATTAACATCAACATTGCCTTGGAGAGGAAAAGTTTTAAATATATTTTTTAGTCAAACAGCAACTCGAAATAATAATTCATTTTCAAATTTTGCTCTGCGGCTGAATAGAGTTTTTCTTTACTTACTCGTGATTGCTCTCAAAACATAATCGCAATAGTTTGTTAAAAAAATATATTTAGTTTTGAATGATTTGTCTTTTTATGTTTATATTTTTTTATCTATCGTAATATATTTTATTTGTTTAGTAATTCCATAATCCCGGTGTCAGCACATAGTGCTTTTCTATCCAAAACTCAACAAACAACCAACAAAAAAAAATTTTTTTCATTTATATGCAAATATCTATTACCCGTTCCCTTCAAAAAATACTAGTCCAATAACTGTATCAGCCAACCTAGTGGATCAAACATGGTTTACATTTTCAATTGCCCAATAATGCTTATGGTTAATTGTCTTCACAAAATTTTGTCAAATTTTGTACTGGTAAAAATGTATGGTTGAACTGTTGTTTTTTTATGAATTTTGCCTTATGATCTGTTCAAATAACTTGCAGCATTTGGCATTGATCTCACTGAATTTTCTAGAAAATTAACGAAAACTCTTAGTATCTGTCTTGTTACTTTTAAAATAAAATTTATCTTTCAAATAAAGCACCTATTCTTCCTCCTGAGGTCCAACCACAAATCTTGTTTTTCTCTTAATACTTTTTACCTCATCAAATCGACTACAGGCCGCTAAAACGTTGGTGCCATTCGAGTAAAACTTAATTGTTTAATTAAAAACGGCAAAGCATTTCATATTTTTAATCTTCCGAATAAATAATATTATAAAAGAAAGTGTGATGATAATTATTCTTCGTGTCACTATTAATGTCTGTTAGAGTGTCATTAAAATTTATAAACAACGTTTTGGCTTCTAAGGCATTAAAGATGTAGATCATTAAATTCTACTTTTGAATAATAAAATTGAGTTATTTAAAGCTTAAAGTTTAAGAGTTAAAAAGGACTTGAAATATACAGAGTGCTCTATTTAAAAAGGTGAAGTTGTTAATTTTTTATACGCTCGCTGTTTTTATATTTGTATAAAATTTTTTGCCCATTTCCTTTAATAAACTCTGAAGATGGATGCCAAAATATAAATGAAAATCCTGTACATAGTGTTTTTTTTTTAAGATTCTGGTAAAGCGTAGGTAAAAATTATATACAGAATATGTTAATATATTTTTTTTATTCTTAATTTTTGAAATATGTACAAAATGTCCACGAATGGGGTCACTAAATAAAAAATTTTGTTGAGAAAATGAATTCACGATAAAAAAAATATAGATCAAATGTTCAGGATGTTAATAAGTTAGAAAAATATGAAAATGCTTCAAGAGTAGTACCATTATCTATTATTTTTAACAAAAAATTTTGTAAAAAAGTCGTTTATAATTAGCATAAAGACTAAATACAAATTTCATTGTGATAAACATAGCTTTGCGTGGGTACCCTTTGCAAATAATTGGCTGCATATTCACGAAAAAAAGTCTAATAATGAAATGTCAGGCGACAAAACTGGATAATGAATTTGGCCAAAGCTCCCGATCCACCTTCCGACAAAATGATCATTTAACCATTGTCTGACCAACGCTGTGCAATGAGCAAAACATAGTTTTAGTGGTAGAAAAAAAAAATTCCAAAATGTTCAAATATATGTGTTGGTTCCCATAGTTGGTTCCACACCACCCATCCTCTTTTTTGTAACGTTGTCTTGGTGTGTTTATGAAATAATTAGTTCTCATAAGTCCAATGACCAGTATTTTTGAAGATGCCTATCCATTTATGCAAAAGTAAGTTAATCGATAAAAAAATATATATGAAATCGTTGGCTGTAAATAGAATGATGACATAAACGTCAACGTATACAAAATCGGCTCCCTTGATTTTCATGCAAAATCTATACTTAATTGAAGATAATAATTATTAATATCTTATTTAAAAAAAAAAAAATTATATTTGTAGTTACTATTTATGCCGTTTCATAAACAACATTATTGTATAAAATTGTTGATAAAAACAATAAACAATTATCATTTCTCTCTTCAAACATTTTCATATTTTCACTTTTTTTTAATCGAGAATTCATTTTCTCAACAAGCAGAACTTTTTATGAACACTGTTGTCAATGAAGTGAATAATGCAGAATGTTTTCCCTTGGGGACCCCAAACATCGACACTCTATATAATGCTTCAGTGGTTTTTGAGTTGAGACTGTTCAATAATATCTAAATTCTTATTTTATTTTTGTTTTATTCAACGTTCAAGAACCTTAAATCTTACGGAAAAATATTTATATATCAGCTATAGCAAGAAATCATATTAAGAATATTTTTAATGCGTTTAATAATTGTCATCTTAAATTTCAAATTATTATTGTACTTCAAAAAATGAAAAAAAAAATTCCTTGACTTAACCTTAATAAGAAATCTGAGAAATCTTAATAATAATAACATAAAAGCAATATGGTACGCAAAAGATAACATGGTCAAGTAAATATCTAAGTTATAATTCATATCGGTTGAATAGATCATCACATCGCTACAATACCGACCAGAAATTTTATCAAAAGTGAATTAATTAAAAAGAAAATTTCCAGTTGCTTTAATTCTATAAAAAAAATATATTGGAATAGCCAACTTTTAGAAAATCGCATAGATGGACAGAAATCTACTAAAAAGGCTTTAACTGCATTACAGAAACAAATCATGAATTTTATTTTAAAGAAAGTAAAATTTTAGCCCACGATAATAATTATCAAAAATTAGCAATAAAGGATATCATTCATATTAAAAAGAAGTAAATGCTGTAAACGATCCTAGTAATTTAAGTCGGTTACCACAATTTACTAACATAATCTAACTAGCAAAAGTAATTTTGTGTTGAAGATAAACCAAAACTTAAATAAATTCTTAGCAACACATATTAAATATAGACGTAAAAGTGAAAACATTCATGTCAATTCATATTTGAATTTATTTATATATATTTCCTAATTTATCAATAGCACTACCCAAGGACTCAAGCATTATACAAATATATAGAGGCTTACATTGTAACATTTTATTCCGTATCAAAAGCGGTTAAGCTATCAATTAGTAATGACGTGAGCGTCGGTTTTAAAGCAAAATAAAACCTAACTTCAAGCTAGGACAATGAATATTCAAATATTGAAATGAATATGTTGGGGTAAAATGTCGCTCATTAAGATACGGTATGACTCATTGTTGCACCCATAGATGCTCGAATTAAATTCTGAATAAAAGTTTCTAACAGCGTTGTTGCCAAAGAATAAATCAAAAAATCATCAATATCAATCGCGAGGAAACCAATTTTGACATTAGGATCCGCTTTTAGTGAAAGATTTTTTTTTGAGGTGGCTGGATTAATATGCAACTCAAATTAAAATGAGAACTAATGTAATTTACCTTTTTTTCTATAGACATCGTCACTCTATTATAATCGCCAAAAGAAGTAACGGAAGAGTACTAGCAATGAACTAGTGATCTCTCCATTATCATTTGCAAAACTACAGCCATATTGAATAAACCTCGCATGCGAGTTATTATGTCAATATTGAAAAACTCATTAATGGGCGACGTTTTACTAATTTTGGCATTCTCCTTATTTTTACTAATTTATACTAAGATAGCTTTTTGACGCATTAATTAAGAACCACCCTGTACAAGATGGGTAGCCCAGTAATTCTAGTCTTTGTGCGGTATGACGAGATCCGTTTTATCAAAACACATTGCGTAGACATCTAAAATAAACGTACAAACGAAGAAAGCAAATTAGCAATACTACATTTATTTCCAAGTTTCAATCGCGCTGACAATATAAGTGATGGCTAAAGGTTGACCTACCTTTAAATGAAAACAAGGGAGGTTGACTTTACTTAATATAGCAGAATTAAGAGTACATAAGCAATTCTCAGGCGTTTATTTGTCGAACCTCCATTTTCACCAAAAATTTATCATAAAAAATCTCATGGATGGCAAATAAGAATATTCCAATATACAGAATATCTTTTTCACATTTTTTGAATTTGCGCATGCACAAAATTTTTACGTAGCGGTCTGGATTTGCCAACAAAATATTAGGAACTAAGGAAATTAACCATAACCAATGTCCACCATGCAAACATTTCAAATGATGCATTTAATTTTCGAGAGGAATTTAATTTTCGAACCATTCCGAAACATTCATTTTTTCAGATATTTCGGTTAGATATATCCCTGGCATCCATAAAATTACTAGCCAAGCGATAACTCACAAAAATTGAATAAATATAAAATTTATAGATGTTGCCTAAATAAAGTATGGCTACAATAGCACTTCGCGTTTTTCCTCCAGATGGACCAGCCTTCTT